AGAAAGAGGAGTGATAGTGTAACCGTTTCTAGCAGAATGGTTGTCGAGGGATTGACTTCACTTGTCTCTTCGACGAGTTGGTATCTTGGTGCGGAGAATGGCAAAGCTCACTGATGATGCCGACTACGATGCCGGCTAAACGTTTGAGAATATATCCAGTCCACTGTCAGATGCTGGGAATGATGACAACTACTATGGCAGACGACTTCGGACTAGGTGCGTTCTACATAGTCCCCCTAAGAACAAGACCAAGTTGCGACAACGAGGTCAACCCACTTCTACAAAATTTTCAAGTTCACTTACCAAATAGATCTCGAATACTCTACACAAAGGCTCATTTATTTGAGTGCTATAGGCGTTGCTTTGTCTTCGCTCAAGTATTCTGATGTTTTCAAAAAATGCTATTGGAACAACATTAACATAAAGTTTATTCATTTAATAGAATAAACTTTATTTTTAAAGTAATTATTGTGGATAGCATGCAAATTGGACAGAATTTTTGGTATTTTATCTTTAATCACGGAGAATATTAGGTTTTATATGAATCTCCAAATTTAGTTATGTTTACCGGCTTTCATTTCCTATGATAATGTGAGATGAACCTACTCGTAGGCCACTTCAAAACGGTTGATTCCCCTTGATCTTCATTTTAATTTTTTGGGACTTTCATGTTGGTGCAGTACTCGATACATTATCCTTTGGTTTTGCTGAAAACCTGTAGAGTGTTAGTCGACTTCCAGTCCACTAGGAATGATGAAAACTCACCCTGATCATCACTTCCTATCTATGCACATTATGAGCATAGCAGAAACTGGGCACAAGATATAATGAATTGCAGGGTAAGAGCGGCCATCAACATATTAGAGCATACGTTAAATTGATAAAAGGGACTAAGGAATTAAACCTTGATGACTCAAGACTGATATCAGACTAGTGAAATTACTAGTAGTTTCGTGCTCTGACTTAAATGCTTAAGGGCACCAATACCCGCACATACACACACAATCAAGTAGTTAATTTCTTAGATTGACATTAAAAGAATTTAAAGTATTAATTCTGTTTCTATATATTTCGGTTTTTATTTTTTACTATATATGTAACATTTAAACTAGAGCCGGCTAGTCCTTCCTGAAGCTTTTTTGAGAATTAATTCCAACTAACGATATATATCATATGATGGCAAAATTAAGCTCAACCCGCTTTTACCCGAACTCAGGAAGGATGCCTTATTTACCCCACCAATCTAAACGTCGTGGTAAGTTCCAGCGACTTCAGAACGAGAATGAACTGTTTTTTCTGGTGAGATCGACCTACGAATATCTTCACCAGGCACTTTCGCACAAAGCGAAACTCACCACAACTAGGAAATTAAATCATACTTATTCTTTCATTGACTTAATGATAAACAGGGGGTCTAGCCACTTTCAATTTAAAAAATTATACATCTAGTCTTTTGTTTAGAAGAAGATTTTCGAGACTTAGTTCCTTTATAATTCTAGACGAAATTTAATCAATACATGTCATATTCATTTATTATTTTTGGTTATGGTTCTCGTTTTAGTCAGTTTCTACACATGATTATACACTTAAAGCATTTCTATAAGAGATTTTATCCCAAATCCGATTTGCAAAATAGTCTTCTATATATAATTATCAACAAAACTTCTCCCCTCTAGGCTTTTCCTGTATTATGGCCTTATTATTCGCTTGGCTAGATATCTTTGTAAGTCCTTGCGTCTATTTTTTATTCCCTACCCTCAAAGCTTATATAAATGCTACTCATAGATTAGTTAAGCAGTCTTAAAACAGGTTATACTCAGACTTTTCTTTTCTATCGAAGCCATGAAGACCAAGGTGACACAACCTTAATTGTCGTCGCGGTCTCCTTTCCTTATTTATAACTAGCTTTATTTCGTTTGCACAACTTGGTCGTATTGCCAAAAAGACAGTTAAATTCGCATTGTCCTGACTCTTCTGCGATAGAAGCCGTGATAATTTCCAGCGTCGGACCATGGGCTTAATATATTCCGGCAGCTCGATGCTAGAAATTATTGTGGCTACTATCGCAGAGCAGTCTGTAGAAGGTGAATTCGACTATTTCTTTCTCATTATACGACCAAATTTCGCAATTGAGGTCAAACCACTTAGCCTTTGCATATTCCTTCGGCATCTCTCTATAGTCATTGTTGCAGATTGAGTAGTTACTTGAACTCGAATGTCGGTTTGAAGTGATACCGGGTCACAATTCGCCAATTAGTCCGCATGATAATAATAATAAGTCTTTCTGATAGGATATATCCAATAATTAACTGCTTACTTTTTACATACCAATCGTGAGTAGGATTTCATCTGGACTTTATTCTTGTCCTTATCACTTCACGATCAGGCGAAAGCCCAGCACAGATTAATTGGGGTCGTAGGACAGTGCTATGAGAACTTTGCCTAAGTCAAGTCTCGACTCCCAGGCATTATTTCTTTGAATAAGGACATAAATCGCCTTAAGCGATTAAGTTCTTATTCAGGCATTACTTATAGTCTCGAAATCTACTTATAGTTAAAATCTTTCTTTCGTTCTTTGTAAGTCAAATTTGTGAAACTATTCCGACTGATTCTAATACGAAACCAAAGGTCCAACGAACTTACTATTTTATAACATCCTATTTTGGGGCTGAAATTTCAAAACACTTGATTATACTAGGTCAAAATGTCTTAGAGACTAGTTTCGGATTTGCTTTAGTTTTCATCGTTGAGAAATACAAGAAGCTTATTTAGCCATGATGCTATTAATTTCATTTGCAAGGTAGTTTTGAATATGAATACATTCCTGGGGAGGAATTATGTTTTTTCTAGGGTGCTTTTTAAGCAAGTGAAGTTGCCCTTAGTTCGATTTTGATGTGTAATTTATATGCTTTTAAGTAACGCGAATCGACTTTTAATGTATGCTTACCATCTTTTCTTCTTAATTTTAACACAGGCTCTTCTGCGTTCGTCCCAATCTGCCAACAGAAAAATCCTTTCGGCAACACAATCTGAACAGAAGTCGAACCACTCTAGGAACCCAAGTGCTTTTCGCCAGCTTTCCATACATAATTCTGTTCATAAACCAATTGCTCCTGAAAGTCAATCAGCTAGTCCTTTGACTAATAATTCATTTCTTAAATCGCTATCGCTCCCTTCTAAAGTTGGTGATACTAGTTCTACAACGGAAGTCCCAATCATTCGACGTCGTAAGCAGCATATCAAATTGACAGATGACTTATCCTCGAACTCTGAACTCACAAGGTCTCAGAAGCAACGCTTCGTCCTTGGACCCCACAACTCCTTAAGGCAAAACCCCTCTATGTCTCCATCTACTCAAAGCGAACTAAAAACTCATAGTTCACTCGCTCTCTTTCCTTCACCCTTGCTTTACCCCTCCCAATCACCCAACCGACAATTTTCTGGTGATCTTGTTAAGGCTGAGGACCGACTTCGTCCTAGTGGCATTGACAAAGAGCAGACTGTGGAGAAAGGGGTTTCCTTCAAAAACAAACGCCGCATCAATCCCGAACCCGTAGTTCCTGACCGACCTTTTCCAAAGCCCGCAGTTCCGACTGGTTCTGCTTCTACGGCTTCATCGAGTTCAGATGACCAGATCGAGTTGGACGAGTTTCCGGATACAATCGATTTTCATACCATTATCGGAGTAAGCGCCAGTTTTATTTTTGTTTTCAATACTTTTTACTACTTATTTTCAATTCATCTAAATTGTAATGTTCGTATCATTTTTATTTGATTAACTAATATACACA